GGCAATGATTTCGGCGGGAACGTCATTTTCTGGTAACATTTCGGCACGTGCTTCCACGAGTGCCATATCTATTCCTTTGTACGCAGGATGGCTTCGCGCAACCATTGTTGCGATTAATCTCACAACGACCTGACGCCGGACAACTGCTTGGTGAATGATGTGTTGACGCATCGCTGCTTTGTCTTTCTTGTCTCCTATTTTTATTATAACGGCAATTTTGTCACTTAATGCTTTGCCTACGTGCGGTAGGCAACCAGCAGGCGTATTCGATGCCAGTTTTTCGTCTAAACGTTGGAATTCGGACAACAAGTCTTCCCATGGCAACGGAAACGTCGTTGCATTTCCTTTGGCGCATAGGCGGTGCCGGTTCATAAATGCATCTTGGGCTAAACTCCGGTCTTGCAGGTAGCGCCATTCAATGCTAAAACACGTCAAGGCAGTCATGCAAGGGCTTGCACACAAGAGTTCTAAGACAGTGCATTCTTGCGCATAGATCTCCCGCGGTGGATGTCCGAGTATCATATCGTTGCTCAATGCTGCTGGTGGTTTGCTCCTATGTCGATACACATAGTTCCAACAAGAGGAACAAATTGGTACTTCGCAGTGTGTGCACACAGACTCCATGGAACAATGCCTGTAGCAAGTTTTGTCTTCGGGACATGCAACCACACGAATCGTGTAGGAAGGGCAAGACTTTCGTTGCGTTACATTGCAATGCATTGCATTGCACTACATTGCATTGCATAGCATTACATTGCCTTACATTGCGTTGCATTACACTTCATTACATTGCATTGCATTACCTTTCGTTGCTCTTCATTGCAATGCAGGGCATTGCATTGCATTACATTGCATGGCATTACATTGCATTACATGGCATTGCATTACATTTCACTGCATTGCATTGCATTGCATTACATTTCATTGCTTTTCATTGCAATGCATTGCATTGCATTACGTTGCTTGGCATTACATTGCATTGCATTCCATTACATTGCATTGCAGTACATTGCATTGCATTACATTGCATTGCATTACATTGCATTACATTGCATTGCATTGCAGTACATTACATTGCATTACATTGCATTGCATTACATTGCCTTACATTGCATTGCATTGCAGTACATTGCATGGCATTACATTGCATTGCATTGCATTTCATTGCATTGCATTACATTGCATTGCAGTGCAGTACATTGCATTGCACTACATTACATTGCATTGCATTGCATTACATTGCATTCCATTCCATTGCATTGCATTGCAGTACATTGCATTGCATTACATTGCATTGCATTGCAGTGCATTTCAGTGCATTGAATTGCAGGCTTTCATTTATGGTTTCTTTAGGTCAATTTATGATTTCTTTCGGATTCATTTTGTGTTGCATGTAGGGGTTTCTGGCAGCAATTCATTCGGGTTTCTTTCGGTTTCACCTACGGTGTTTAAACTTTCATTTAAGATACAAACAGGAAAAAATAAAACAAAAAAAAGTAGGATTTCAATTTCATGTAGGAATTCTCTGGAGATTTACATCTCTTAAAGGTGTTATTTCGAGTTTCTTTTGCGTTTCTGTCGGGTTTCATGTCGGGTTTCATTTAGGGATTCTTTCCGACTTCCTTTCGGGTTTAATTTCGAGTGTTATGTGAATTTCTTATCAGAAAATCTTGTCAAGGTTTTCAAACATTCATGTGGGTTTCTTGAGAGTTTCTTTAGAGTTTCATTTCGGATTTCGTTCATGAGGAGTCAAAAAAACACGGGGGAGGTCAAACAAACAAGGTGGGGGATCAAAAAAAACAACGCCCTCGTATACTTCGATAAAATATCATGCACCTGTGCGGCGCAACCATGCACCTGTGCGGCGCAACACTAGCTGTATAATAATAGGGCCAAAAATATCGTGTATATATACATATATTTATTTATCTAACTATTATACAGTTACTTAGATCCATGAACCCATAAAATGAACCCATAAAACCATAGGATCAGAATATTAACATGTACTCAAATGAAAAACCCATTTACACATGAAAATTCAAACCTATCAAATTTATTTCACAACGATATACATGGCAAAAAGGTCGAGAGCCTCAAGGTGCGATACATTTCATTGCGTTACATTGCAATGCCTTACATTGCATTACATTGCATTGCATGCCATTACATTGCCTTACATTGCGTTGCATTACACTTCATTGCATTGCTTTGCATTACCTTTCGTTGCTCTTCATTGCAATGCAGGGCATTGCATTGCATTACATTGCATGGCATTACATTGCATTACATGGCATTGCATTACATTTCGCTGCGTTGCATTGCATTGCATTGCATTACATTTCATTGCTTTTCATTGCAATGCATTACATTGCATTACATTGCATTGCATTACATTGCTTGGCATTACATTGCATTACATTACAGTCAATTGCATTACATTGCATTCCATTACATTGCATTGCAGTGCATTGCATTGCATTACATTGCATTGCATTGCATTACATTGCATTGCATTGCATTACATTGCCTTACATTGCATTACATTGCAGTACATTGCATGGGATTACATTGCATTGCATTTCATTGCATTGCAGTGCAGTACATTGCATTGCACTACATTACATTACATTGCATTGCATTGCATTACATTGCATTCCATTACATTGCATTGCATTGCAGTACATTGCATTGCATTACCTTGCATTGCATTGCATTGCAGTGCATTGCATTTCATTGCATTGAATTGCAGGCTTTCATTTATGGTTTCTTTAGGTCAATTTATGATTTCTTTAGGGTTCATTTTGTGTTTCATGTAGGGGTTTCTGGCAGCAATTCATTCGGGTTTCTTTCGGTTTCACCTACGGTGTTTAAACTTTCATTAGGGTTTTATTTCGAGTTTCTTTTGCGTTTCTGTCGGGTTTCATGTAGAGTTTCATTTAGGGATTCTTTCCGATTTCCTTTCGCGTTTAATTTCGAGTGTTATGTGAATTTCTTATCAGAAAATCTTGTCAAGGTTTTCAAACATTCATGTAGGTTTCTTGAGAGTTTCTTTAGAGTTTCATTTCGGATTTCGTTCATGAGGGGTCAAAAAACACGGGGGAGGTCAAACAAACAAAGTGGGGGATCAAAAAAAACAACGCCCTCATATACTTCGATAAAATATCATGCACCTGTGCGGCGCAACCATGCACCTGTGCGGCGCAACATTAGCTGTATAATAATAGGGCCAAAAATATTGTGTATATATATATATATAACTATTATACAGTTACTTAGATCCATGAACACATAAAACCATAAGATCAGAGTATTAACATGCTCAAATGAAAAACCCATTTACACATGAAAATTCAAACCTATCAAATATATTTCACAACGATGTACATAGCAAAAAGGTCGAGCTGCCAGCTTTGCTTCCTTGCCACTTCTTCCGGGGTCGGCGGCAGGGGCGGCAGCCCTTAAATATGATATGTACATAATTTGAGGCAGCGCTTATGTGACTCATACCCCTTTGCGCTCCAGAGTTTTTCAACAATTCAAGGAGACACAAAGGGTTGAACATCCCCCTAAGCTTGGATGTCTATCACAAAAGACCAAACTCGATGGGTTGCAGCCATGCCTAATTTAGAACCGCCAGGGGGCAATGGGTTCAACAAGTTATATTGCTCAACCGCTGTATTCAAAGAATATCAATTGTGAGAAAAAAATCCCTTTGATTCATCACTTTGAAACCAAAGTTTTGGCGGGGATGTTTTTGTAGTTAAGTCCCGATTTCTGGTGGGTACAGTTGGCAATTTTCCTTCTTCAAATCCACATTCTTGGCAGTGAATGGTATGCAACTCATGATAAATCACCATATTTGTTCTTTTAACATCCACATGTTTAATCATGGTTGGTACAAGTAGAGACCGCATTTGCAAACTGGTAAAAAATCCACACATATTCATAAACGTTTTTCGGTCAATATCTGTAAATCACGGTGAAACCCGCAGTGTTGGATGGTTCATAGAATTGGATGATGGGAAAATTTACAGGAAAGCCCAAACAATTTGATGGAAAAAAACCATGGTTTCCTGTAGATTTTCCCTTAAACCAATCCAGTGAATGGTGAAATCCCCAGGTTTTCGGTTGCAGATGTCGTTCGGTCCCAGTCTCCGTGCATCGGAAGCTCAACGCCAACGTCTCCGCGCCCACGGCCCTGGCCGCCGCGCCGCGCAGCTCGTAGCCGCGCGTGCGCAGCACGCGGCGGCAGAAGTCCTGGCATCTAAAATCCATGGATCCATTTGGGAGAAGCTTGAACTTCGTATCGTATCGTAGCATATTTATCGTATGTACATGTATATATATATATATATAACGATGCTTGGAATCGGTTGTATAGTGTTCATCATATTCATCCAGACATCTAGTCATGAACAGGTCAACTTTTTGGTGGCTCCATCCTCTGAGGGAGCCCTCAGCACCGTGACGTTGCTCAAGCCGTTGAGCGCCACGTTGTGCCTAGGGGACCAACGAAGTGACTCTCTGTGGGGGGTCACAAGGGGACTGGATCCGGATGTGAGATACCCATGGAAGCCAAAAATGTCGGTGGCTGTTGATGATTTTTTGTATACGACATTATACGACTACTAATCTTATGTAATATTGCTAAACCGTCCAGTAACTGACAACCTACCCCTATAGCTACCAGGGAAGAGCATAGTGACCAAGCCAACTAAGAATGCTGCATGACACCAAGTATACAGTTGGCATAGCATTGGAGGCAAAGTTGGTATGAAAAGTGGCTCGTTCAGGAAGACAAATTTTGCACGGTAGGCTAGGCCAGTTTCGGAGTTCTCGCAATGATGAACTCTGTATGGATGACGAAACCAAATCCAAAAGCAGGGGATACACGAGGAGTGACATGGGTGCCAGGGGCTTGTCATCCACCAGAAGGATGGGATGTGACCATGATAGGCCCATGTGACACTCAGCCGCTTTCCGTGTCACCAGGCTACTGTGCAGCATCCACCAAATGCCGGTTGATCTCCACTGCTAACACCTTGAAGGGTTGAAGGGTTGGCCAGCTTTTCACAATAGCTGCAACGACCCATAAAGGCGGACGATCGTTTGACGGTTGTCTCAGTCATTTTCTGGGGCCTTTCGAGGCCATAAGAAACTCAATGAAACGCATCCCTTTCGGAAGCCCCTAACATCACCAGTGAGGTCGGCCTGGCGAAAGAACGGCGCCAACGCCACGGTGTGACTTCCACAACCACAGTAGAGTTCCAGGAGGTCCTACCAGGCGCGAGGTGAACCTGCAAACATTTGGAGGACTTAACCAACAAAAATGAAGGGGTCAACATGGGTTAACCATCAACAAATGGGTGATTTGACAATGATTTAATGTGATTGAATATTATGAGTTCATATGATTTAAATATCATTTGGGCTGGTTGTTTTTACAAATTTTGAGTATAAAAATGGGTCACTTGGAACTGGTATGAACTGGTCAAAATGAGGTATGTTAAGATATGTTAACATGGAGCACTGATCGCCTGAAAGTTGGGGAATCCAGTTTGGAAGTTAGGATTACTAAGTAGCTAAGTTGTTGGTCACTCGGGTATGATATCTATGATATGATGGGATATTTGATTAACATTATATAAACATTATACACACATTATATTATATATAATATCATATATAGCATGGTACACACAACACCGGGGAAACCCCGGGTTTTCGCACCGTCGGCTCGGCGAGGTGCTGCAGCACGTCCCCCAACCACTCGGCCGTGGCCACGGCCTCAGCGGATGCCCGAAGGAACTCTAACTGATGATATGGGGATACCCTCTGGTTATGTCAACAGTTTGCTATTGAAAATGGCCCATTTATGGTGAGTTTTCCCATTAAAAATGGTGATTTCCATAGCTATGTTAAATTACCAGAGGGTAACTGATGATTTTACAAATATCAAACTGGGATGATAACATGATTCTCTGTGTGATGATAGATGTCTGATGTATGTAATCAGCCAGTTTTAGATATACTGTATATGATATGTCGGTCTTTAAACATCTATATACACGATTCCTGGGATGCGGATCCAAGTAGTCAAAGCACTGAGATCCAGGCAATGTGTGGGTTGGGATTGGAGAATTGTCCTCGGCGAAAAAGAATTGGACTCCCAGAGATGTTGAGATTTTCGACCCCTGGTGATGCAATTTTTTGGGGGGTACCCAATTCGTTTAGGGAGGAGAAACACCAGAAGTAAGTTTCCTCCTCGTCACGCAACCATTCCTGTGACATAGTATGTCCCAAAAGGAGTTTCAGAGCGTTTCCATACTCTCTGCCTCAAAACCAATATCAAGTCACCCAGGAGTCGCATGACAAGTTTTCCTCATCGCTATTGGTTTCATCACCATTTCTTTTGGTTCAAAAAGCATTTCAACGGGTGTTGTTTCTCGCACCAACCCTTCTTGATACTTCGGATATGCCAGTTAAACTTGGTTTCCCTCAAACCATCCAACCCCAACCAGCCCTAAATTAGCACCAAGTGGCCGAATGGCTGTCGATATTTGACGCTGCGACCCTTCATCTGCAGCACTTCATCGACAAAGTCCTGACCTGCACAGGGCAGCAGGACATCCTCGGTGGAGTCGCAAATTGCCATGGGGAAACAGAAATCTGAAACCACCAAGCAGCTATCTGCAAATCTATTTATAGAAGTTTATGAGAAGGCGGCTCGGTCAGATTGTGGAACTTCCTGATACTTCCCAATCACACTTGGGATGGTCGCTTGAGAAACCGTTTGCAAACGTGAAATGTGTTAGTGGTAAGCTGGTCCAAAATGATAAAACGGGTGTAAGAGTATGGATCAAAAGAGGACAAACATTCAAAATGGCTTCATCCAAAAATATGCGAGAAATCTGGGGTCTTTTCCTGCCTGCAGGATAGCTTCGCTGCTTGCCCTTGGCGGAGACCAAGATCACCAGCGACTGCAGGTCGGGCAGCTTTGACAAAAGGCCTGGGCCGCGAGCCGGGCACCGTTGGAGAGGCTGAAATCAACTGACCCTGGTAGATTCACCTGGTATATGTACATTATGTGTATATATACATACATATAGATATATATATATATATACATATGTATATATATATGTATGCATATATATACATGTATATATATATGTACGTATAGCCGTATAGCTGTATCAATTTCAAAAGGAACCCGTCCCACTTTGGGATGCAACCAACAAAACAGCAGATCTATATGCAACCAATTTGTCGTCCCTGCCTGCGTGGAGTTGCTGCAACACCTCATCACCTGGGTGCGTTTTCCATGACAGTTCTGCCACCAGAGGTTGGAGAACCACACTTGAAGCCATGGTTCAGTGAGTTCAGATGTCTGTGAGTCTAGGGCTAACTATTAGACTAACTAGGACCTATAGTAACTATAGGATTAATATAGATTAATGACTAGGTCGGGCTATTATCGTCCCAAACATACGAAACAGCATCAAGTGAAAACACGAATCAGCTTCGCAGAATCAACTTCCTTGGATTCTCACTCGCAAAAGATGAAGAAAACAAGAATCAAAGATCAACCATGAAAACAACAAGCGAACTAAATCATTGATGAATCATGAAGGAAACAAATACTAAGCTTAGTAAACTCGTGGGATGTTCACGTTGAAACATGTTCGCCCCAACCCGGACGTTGCTCCACACTCATCCTCATCCTCATCATCATCATCATCATCATCATGATCATCATCATCACCATCATCATCATCACATCATGATCATCATCACATTAAAATTCGCCACCCCCTCTGAACAATATGTTGACTGGGGTAATAACATCAACTTTATCTTCATGAGGGGTCAAAATTCGCCACCCCCTCTGAATATGTTGATTGGGGTAATAACAACATCAACTTTATCTTCATAAGGGATCAAAATTCGCCACCCCCTATGAACAATATAGATTGAGGTAATAACATCAACTTTATCTTCATAGCCACCTGAAGTCAGACGCGGCGCAACGTCAGGGTTGCAGCGAACATGTTTTAACTAGATACACCAATCATTCACCTACCCATTTAGTCCTGGCCATCTCCACTACCCCCATCCCCCGAGCCTGGCAGCTCCGAGGTGTCGGGGCCATAGACGAAGCCTTGGATGAGGCTCGTATCACCGTATTGTTGGTGGCAATTTTAAGAGTCAGCCTATCCAGCATTGATATGACTGCACATACATATGTATATACATATATATATATACAGTATAATATATATATATACATATATACATATATATATATACACATATATATATATACATATATATATATATATATTATATACATATGTATGTGCACAAGTTCATATCACATGAACTAATATCATCAGTTTGTCACCTGTTTTGGCTCATAATTTAATAACCAACATTATCTTGGGTCATCCACACGTTGGTGGAAGTCCTGAATCCGCTGGGCTGTTGAGATTTGGGCCACGATCGATCATCGATCTTCAAAGTTGCACTCTCAGTATCACATGAACATCGAAAGACACTGAGAAATCAATGATATATATAATCATATATATATATGATACTATCTATTGTGATACTATCTCAAAATCAGAAAATCAATGAAAATCATAGGATTTCATGAAAATCATCCAATCCGAAAGCCATTGGAGCCACCTTCCAGCTGGCGAATTGAGGAGCCCGGCAGCAGAGCAGCTGAGATGTCCCCAAGGTGCCGTGGAGCTTCACGCAGCGCGGCGCCAGAAACTCGGAGAACGAGCTCCTGAAGTTGGTGGATGTTGGTGGACAAAAATCTCTAGGGAAATGACAAATTATAAGATCTGTATAATATCCATCAATATCCATCAATATCCATCAATATCCATCAATATCCATCAAATATCCATCAAATATCCATCAAATATCCATCAAATATCCATCAATATCCATCAAATATCCATCAATATCCATCAATATCCATCAAATATCCATCAAATATTGTGTCACTGTCACTATAATTGATACTTGACAGTGACAAAATTTCATGGACCTGTGAGTCTTTTTCAGGATCTAAAAAAAACCGATGATCATCATATGATGATCTCTGTAAATTATTGGTAAATCTGTGATTATCCTCTAGTTAGTGGATGCTCCTCTATCTACATGGAACTGGTTTCTCCCACACAATGCCCTTTGAGTAGCAATTTTGAAAGGGTACAAAATCGGACTCGCTTACCTGGACAATCAAAAAGTATTAAAACGTCTGCCCCGCTCTGACACTATCCATGAATTGTATTGTACGTGTTCGAACAAAAAGACATTAATTAAGATTGTTTCGGCCATCAGGATGAATTTCCTGAACATTCGCAGTTCATCCAATGTTCGCGTCCCCCATATTTTTTGGACCAAACCCAAATATCCACTGTTTATATCTGTTTATCCATGTTTACTGGTTGAATCCCATTTTGTTGGTTGAAACCTATTAAATTGGCTCGGTTTTTGCATACGAATTATAGATCCATCAGATCCAAGAAAATCCATCGAAATCCAAGGCTCAGCAATTGCGCCAGGGCTGGCAGAGCAGCCGCTATCTGCGGCAGCAAGGTCTCCTGGTATCTGTCGACATGAAACATCACATGATGGTCTATGATGGACTGCAATGCTGCAAGATAACCAAGCCAAACCTAGCAAGGCTGCTGACTTAGGAAGTGTTTGGTGTTGAAGAATGCCCACATTCCAACAAGAAAACAAATATAAATGCAAATCACATAGATCATCTGCCAGATGATTGAACAACAATCGTCGTCTGGTGAGAAGGTGATTCTATGTTCAAAAGGGAGTGGAAATCATCGATAAATAGAGTCGTGAGTCCAGTCCCAGGATCAGTCCCAGACTCTCCACAGAGGGGGACAAACAGTCCAGACATGTCCAAACCCCTTCCCCTGACTCCGTTCAATGCATCCGTGGTGCTGATATACTATCCTACAGACATGGATGAATTTTCAGGGAAACCTCGCAAATCTATCAAACTCCGACATGATGACCTTAGATCTCACGGCGTTTTAGGGTCAAAATGTCAACCTGACCTGAGGACCTTTTTTTTCGTCTTGGAGCCACCCCTTTAAAAATTCACACCAGTTCTATCGGTCGAGCCATGACGGATCATGCTACCCTGGTGGATCCTTTTGAACTTGTTCTCCCAAAGGTCTTGGGATGTCTTAGGTATAGTAGAGATGGTGCTGTACACTGGTTTTTTCCCCACCTGCCAGGTGAGGGTTGTTAGATTTTATCTAAGTTGCCTGCTCCTCCTCCTCCTCTCCTCCTCCTCTCGTCGTCCTCCGGCTCTCGTTGTCCTCCTCCTCTCGTTGTCCTCCTCCTCTCGTTGTCCTCCTCGTCTCGTTGTCCTCCTCGTCCTCCTGCTCAACTGCGACTCGCGATCCACAGTGTTCGCTGCCGGACCTCAACCACGACCATCCACGCCCAGTGTTCCCTGCCGGACCTCAACCACGGCCATCCACGCCCAGTGGTCCCTGCCGGACCTCAACCACGACCATCCACGCCCAGTGTTCCCTGCCGGACCTCAACCGCGAGTATCCACGCCAAAAGATATGCCACATAGAGTGCCAGAAGATATGCCAGATAGAAAATTAGAAGATATGCCAGATAGAATGCCAGAAGGTATGCCAGATAGAATGCCAGATAGAATGTCAGCTAGAATGCCAGAAGATATGCCAGATAAAGTGCCAGAATGTTTGCCAGATAGAATGCCAGCAGATTTGCCAGATAATATGCCAGACGATATGCTAGATAGAATGCCAGATGGAATGCCAGAAGATTTGCCAGATAATATGCCAGAAGATATGCCAGATAGAATGCCAGATGGAATGCCAGAAGATATGCCAGAACATATGCCAGAAGATATGCCAGAACATCTGCCAGAAGATATGCCAGAACATCTGCCAGAAGATATGCCAGGTAGAATGCCAGAAGATATGCCAGATAGAATGTCAGATCGAATGCCAGAAAATATGTCAGATAGAATGCCAGAAGATTTGCCAGTAACAAAATATATAAATGTCATGGTGGGGATCACACGAAGTAAAGTAATTCATCTGAATAGGTACAACGTGGAATAATACGTCTACATCTACATACACATAACCATATATATATAATGTAATTAATCTCTATATATAATTACGTATATACGAGGATACATACAGAACCACTCCATGGTTCGATGTCCAGAATCACATCCGCCCGCTCCGTGGGAATTGTCGACTGCAGCTGGTAGCCACTGGAAGTTGGAACAAACCTCCCGCGGATTTACCAAAGGAACCCCATTGGGACAAGAGATTTCAAAATTTGACCAAAAGCAACTTCTATGGCTGAGGAGAATTTGAAATTTATGAAAAGGGTGTGCTCTGAAGAATATGTCAAATCTACTGATGCCCGTGGTTTCAATCAAAGACTTGTATGATCTATTGTGTATTTCAGATATGCCTGTCCGCGTCTATGTTCTGTGGGTTTTACTGTCCTTCACCCTTAGGTTTTCTGGCTTGCATCGAGGCAAATCGATCTTGGTTCACCGAAAGTTCGGGACAATCCCTCTCAAAAAATATGGCCGATTGGGGTTCACCACCCCTCTTGCTGCATAAAAAACACATCAAGTATTAATTAGATGGTATATTCGAACCACCAACTCCTTTAGATTGGTGCTATTATCCCGGTTTATTTTCGGCCGTGTTCCCATTGCCGGTGACCATCAGGGCCGCCTGAAGAGACCGCCACTCTCCTCAGGCGACAACTTGGCCGTGCTCGGGGCACCCACCTTGGACGTGGCGGAGAAGCCAAGCCGAGGTCGGTGGTGTCGTGATCGATGGGGCCCATCCAAAAACAGCCAGGGGCCAGGGGCAACACATTTTGCAAAACGGAACGTAATGAATATAATATGAATGTATAGAAATGGTATAGACTCAGAAGATGAGCAAACATAGGCGATCAAAAAAAACTCCAACTGATGTTCTACGTTTTGGTCATGTTGCCTCTAATTCCCCCCCAATGATTTATTATTATGTCGCTGTCTTATTTCTTTCGGTATAGTATAATGACAAATGACAGTAATTTCGAACATATGGTGATATAGTGACAGTGACAGTATTGAAGCCGCGACTGTGGAAAAAATAAGTGCAGAGGTTGGGCAAACACATGTGCTGTCCAAACAGAATGCAAAGAAATGATGTCACAAGCTTACCCATCATCGACACACACGCACACACAAATCTGTATTGATCTGTCTGCATTTCCTATGTGGTCGAGTAGTATGACAGCCAATATAAAAAGGCTCCGTGAACGAAGTCACCAGTTGCCCAATGAAGCAAACTCGAATGGGCGGGCAATTTGAAAAAAGTTTGAATACTCAAAAATGGGGATGGGGACACCACGCTGAGATCAATTTGGGACATGTCTGTCCATAGACCCACTTTCCTTTCCCTATATACAAGCGGCAAAACATGAAGACATGCTTCAGTAAAAACCAAGTCATGTGTGTATAATTTGGGGTATAATCTATACTTAACAATACTTCACATAATAATCATAATCTAAAAAATTGTAAGAAAAATCATACGCCACGCAGATCTACGCAGCATTTCGCGTGATGTTAAGCCGCGCCACCGCCACCACCGTCCTGGCCCGAAAATGACGTCGTGGAGATTCGCGCACCTCCTGAGGCTGGTTGCGGGTGTCGTATAGATACGACAGGCAGAAAAATCTAAGTCATGGAGTCATGGTGAGACTCACCTGGTGAGATAGTTGGTAATTTATGATACTTTATGAAATATATCATATATTATATATTATATTTATATATCATATCTTGATATTCAAAACTAGCTCATAAGTGGAACAAAAGGATGAACATCGATTGGTGGTGACCACCTTGAGATCCGTTCCGCCTTGGCCCTTTTGGTGTCTCCCGTCCATTCGCTCCCCATACACCCTCATTGCTGCTGGTGAACAATTACCAAGTCTGACAAGTTCACAAAATCCCTAATAATTGAAAAACATGTATGGTTTACCCTCTGGTTATTTAACATAGCCATGGTATAGATGACCCATAAAAATAGACGGTTTACCTATTAATAGCATGGTGATTCTCCATGGCTATGTTAGTCATAACCAGATGGTAGTTTCCCCGTGAGTTACCATGCGCTTACCACATGTTCATTAACTTGTGTACAATGTCGCAGTGTGACAGTGTGTAATCCCAATGAATTTTCTGCGAAATTGGTAGGACATCGTTGCCATGCTTGGTTTGCAATCCAAGGCGCCAGCCGTTCCCAAATGTCTTGACCCGTCACGGGAGAAAGCAGTTCACGCCTCAGTTCGGGCCCAACGAAAGTCAACAGAAAACTGGGTAAAACCATGGGAAATTGTGCATGAAACAATAGTTATCGATGAGGATACCATATTGGCCAACCACTGTACAATGAAGAAAAGAAAAAAAAAGGTAGGGTCCACGCAAGCACAACGATGTGGAATGGCACAGAAAAACGCTGAAACAGCAGGGACCTGGACGTAAGCCAATTGAATGGTGGATGTAGCCAATTAAACTGGGTTTGGTTGGAAGAAATCCCCGTCGTTGTGTTTGACGGATCTTAAATTAAAACCCTTCTTCTAGCGGAAACAAATCCCAGGTAAATCCAAATTTTGGTGAATGAAATCAAAGAGAATGCCCTATTGTGTAAGTTTTTCTGCTTAGAAAGGCCAAAATCAGATTTAGTATGATTTAGTGCTGGCAACCAGAAGGAGACCCGAAGCAAAGCTTTGGCAAATTTTCTGCGCCAAAGGGTGAATCAGGTCTTGCACCTTCAGCAAAGTTCTATAAAGTTCTAGAAATTCGCTAGATTTACATGTTTCCCTGAGTTTTTGGTAGCAAGTCTGTAGCAAACTCCCCGTTTTCGGGCAGCATCCCCAGTGATTGAAGCCACAATGAAACTATCAATCAGTGTTCTGGGCGCCCCAGCACCGCTTGCTCCTTCTGCTTCAATTCCTCCGGTCCGGCATCGTTTCCAGCTGCAGCTGTAGCCACTGCTTCTGCGCTGGACCAAAGACCCGCGGCACCTCAGTACGATGCCGTGTGAAGTGATTGCTTTCCGATGGGTGATGATGGTGTTTGTTGTGATCCAGTGAACGTTAGTTTCATCATCATCCTCGTCGTCACCGTCGTCACCGTCGTCATCATCATCATCATCATCAGTATCAGTATCAGTATGAGTATGAGTATCAGTATCAGTATCAGTCATCATAGTCATCATAGTCAGCGATGCGACGACGGCCTTTACTATTTTTGATGATGGTGATGACAATAAGCATTATGCCAGCCAGAAGTTGGTCTACCACAAATGGATTCATGGCAAGCGTCGCCCATCCGCTGAGCCAGGATGATGTGCCCGGGCCTTGGCCAAGCAGTGGGAAAATGGGCTGAATTTGATAGTGACCGGAAACCATGTGCAAGGCGCCATTGTGCATGTTCATGTATAAAATACATTGAAATACAATACACGAAAGAGATAAAATAGACCATGCGTGGAACCAATAACGTTCCCGGGGACAGCAAAGGATAAGACAAGATCTCTGCATGATATTTGGCAAGTTTATACTTCTACCTGTAAACGGGCTTAAAACATATCATCATACCTAACTCCACTCAACTGCTACTTGCCCCCCAGTTGCGGGTTGTTGCTTGGCTCAGTTTCCCCACAATTTACGGTTGTGCAAAGAGGCGAAGCTCAAGAGCCTTGAATTTGGATCTGCGTCAATCATTGTCTTTTGCCAAGGTTGGAAGATGTACTGACTTGCTGAGTTGGTCATCATTTTCCCCATTAAAAGTGCCATTGTATGGTTCCCATCCCCATTTTCAGACCCGTTTCCAACCCACAACTCTCCGAAGTCCGCAGCCAGATTGCATATGCACGGCGCAGCTTCTCCTCTGCTTCTCCTGATGCCTGGCAGCTTGCCCAACTGATGGCTGGGTTTTAATCTGATATAATGCTATAAGATTATATATTGGATTCAATGACTCATCATGCACCGGTTTCCGACGCCACTGACCATGAGTTGGAGTTGAGGGGTTCCGGGCGTTGGAGACAAAACTACCAAGTTGCCTATATAGTTTTTTTTGCTGATGTTTTCTTTTTGAACGTAACGTGAAACATATGAAACATACGAAAATCATATGTGGTCAGCTTCTCAAACACTCCATCACACGACCTATCACCGACCCATCGCTGGTCTTCCACTATGCTGAGCTTTTCGAAGTGCAAACAATGCTCTTCATTTTTGAGATTCGCGCTACAGACTTGGACTCTCATTTGTTGAAATTTGTGGAAGGCAACTAAGATCCAACCAAAACAGTGTTTTCTTTGGAGTTTGAGCAGTCTTCAAATGCAGAACAGGTTTTAAAGCCCAATTGGACGTACAATTACGAACCTGTTCTTATTTAAGTATGCATCAACTCAACATCGTGTACTCCCAAAGAGTCACTCTAAGATTGGATTCAAAACCATTTTGATCAACTTGTGTCTTTCTGTGCGCATAAGATGTTTTAGGTTTTTTAATGGACATAGAATGTCCACATATATTTTTGTATGCCATAGTTTTTCATGCGTTTAAGAAATTGGCCCAGTCTCGGCTGCCTCTTGGGGTCCGGCACCCGGGCGTCCGAAGATCACCCGATTGTGAGGCGAGACCTGCTGCCATTTTTGCCGACTGGTTGGCACTCCATGTCAGTCACACTTATATGCATAAGGATCCTGATAATCCTATTTTGAAATATTGGTACCTAAACCCTTAAGATACCTTACTTAGAAGTTCTCATAAGTATATTCAACATGTTTCAACCAAATGATAACCTGATAACCCCATTCCGGTGACTCACCACATCTCCTTCCCCTGCAGCCCTTCCTTGGCATCAAAGCTTCGCAGCGCACAAGCGCAGTGCTGCGCAGTCAGGCGACCCATCTCCTGAGCAGCTCAGTGATGGTCCAAATATGTCCAAATATTATATGGGTTACATCTGATGGGATATGATATGAATGGTGATTTTAATGGACATTTATGGACATTTAATATTTAATGGTGCCATATTCTCAGACAAACCCAATGGGGGGTTCTTAAGTCAGGGGGATCCCCAAATCACCATGGCTTTCAATACTACAATGGTCTAACGTTGGATGATTTGGTGCTACCCCCATTTTAGGACATCTCCGGAAACTGACCTCGCCAGGCCATCCCATTAGCCACGCCACCGCCAGGATCATGGCTGCAGGGAAGTCCACCTCCAACGACTTGGCGGCCGCCTGGAGATGTCCTCAACTAAGGAAGGGAGCCCAGCGGTAAAACTGGGGGATGCTTGTGGATTGTTGAAGGGATAAGGTACACAAAATCATGCAAATTCATATGAGACCTCCATTTTGATCATTTTTTTCGGACGTGGAAGTACAGATTGAAGCATATGGAAACAAGGACCATTAGGTGTTGGGGGGCTGGAAGACTGCCATTGTTGCCTGTGCGTCTCCGTTTAGTTTCCTGCTTTGTTTTATTCGCACCATGGCCAAAACCCCGGTCGCCGTCCTTGGTGGTCCTTGGGGCAGCATGGGCACACCGCGAAGGCCGTGTTGTGCGCCATGCAGTGATCGATGATCTCACGCGCCAAGTGTTGACATGCGTGGCAGGCCACCACCAGCCTACAGCCCGGACGAGGTGTTCAGGTGGGATTCCCAGGATTCCCCAGGTCCATGGGTCGAGACCCATGGCCACAAAACCACGGTGGGGGCATCGAGTTTGGTCATCTTCATCTCTAAACTATGGACTAAGTGACTAAGTTTCTGAGGTTTCATGATCTTGGATCCACAATCATAGTACAAGATACTTGAGATTGCTGCCCTCCTCATTTAATTAAGGACAATCAGATTGTAGGCTCAACTTCAGGTTGTTCCTCGAATATTTGCTGCGGGTTACTGGCCACACAAACCAAATGATCCCAAGGAGGGACAGAAAACAACAAATTGAAACCACAAAACGATACTATGTTCCCAGTTTTGTAGATGCTTATCACAAATGATTGGTGCTTCATGATGCCAAATGCTGCTTATAGCCCCATCTTCGATCTTCGCTGAATACTATTGCCCCACCAAGCAGTTCGTCAAGGCAGGCCCTGCTCGCCAAGCTGAGCCGCATTCGTTTGGAATTGCCCTTGAGAACTTCTGGCAGGGCCTCCCGCGCCGAGCAACACCAGTGCTGAAGAAGAACAAGTCTCAAAAATGCGCATATATAGAGTACAAATTGGATAGCATAAAATGATATAAAATGTATGTATCTCAACAATAGTATGCCAATGTCAAAATAGTGAAAAATAGTGAAAAGATCAGAAAAAAATGGCATCGGCTACAGTAAGATTTCGCGCCAACATGCCCAATGTGGATGTTGCTCGCCTGCTGCAAGGGCCGCTGATCGTAGGAAATCGGCCCGGTGACGAAGGAAGACCATGCCTCACCTCGGCTGACGTAAAAGGTGTCCCGCTCGAATGGGTCCGGTTGTTGTCTGGCCTCACCACTTGACAAGAAGCACTTGATAGCACTTGCTTCATTCTTCTGGGACTTAGGGACATACTATGATAGACTGGTTTATGATAAAATATGATCAAACATAGAAAAACAATGGAATAGTCAAAGTATGTTAATCAACATCATCCCATCCCAACCCCCTCCATCCCCCTCCACCCAAGCGACGCAGCGTGGCGTGGCTCGCCGGCCGCTGCGGGTCGATGATCGTCGCCTGCTGCGCCTGGCCGTGCGCCAGGAAGAGCAGCGCCAGGGCGCCGTGGCCGCCGCAGACGTCCACCACCTGGGGGGTGGGACGGGGGGACGGGGGGATGGGGAGGTCTCAACCAACAAAAAGCTACAAAAATGGAGATCTAACCAGGAAAAATGGTGGCAAAATGAGCATAAATAATGGGGATTCACCATGTGGTATTTAATCATCCAACTTTGGGGGGTTAAGCATGTTTAACCACCCAACATGGGGACATAGTATGATATACTCAATGTACAGGATATAATGATATAATCATACATAATCCATACTTATGGGGCTGGGTCAAAACCTATTTTGCATATGAATTGGGGTATGAACATCCAGAACTACCAGGGTTTTGAATCATAGCCAAAATCCCCGGGAAAAATGGGCTGGGATTGGATGGAGTATCAGCAAAAAAAACTGGTGTGCTCTACCTGAAGAAATGGGAATTAACATCTGGGGGACGATTTGGCTTTGACTGGAAACAAAATATGCTGCATATATTCTTGACAAGAATGTCGACTTTGATTTGGATATGTATATTGTGGTCCAAAATTTGGTTCTATTAAGCAGTACTTTCATGTTTGGAAACTACTTACCTAAGATTTCCCCAATTTATAGTGGAATCCCCAAACAACAGCCATCACATCACTGCCTCTTCTTGTCATTTCCCGGACACTCCTTGCTGCCTCCAGGACCCCCAAGCCGAGCTGCCACTTCGGGCCGAAGTTTCCGAGCATCCTTGCGAACGCAGTCGTAGAAGGCACAGGACTCCTGAAGCGTTGGGGCGCCAGTGGGTGATTGGAACACCTGGAAAGAACGGTGGGGGCTGCTTGAAATAACTTCCAGCAATATGATGCATGGCAAATGCGGAAAACAAAATATTAGGAAGTATCTACTACGAAGGGTTTACTTTCTCTGGACAAGTTGGGTTTCGTGTTGTTTTCTCAATGTTGCATCTGCAAAATTACATCATGTTGATGACAAATGAAAATGTTATACTGTCTATACTCGCAACCTCCCCCAAACTCTTTTCTACGGATCAAAACCCGTGTTCCGTGGTAAACATCGAAATAGCTGTCAAATGAATGTTGCTTCCCAAAAAATGTTACCCTAGGTTTGGGCCCATCCATGCCCATCCTCATTTGTTGTCGTCTCAAGATTTGGACCCCCATTCCATCTCATGGTTTAGAACATCATGTTCCCCATACTTTGCAGGTCATAAATTAGGCCCATCCCCCATATCGAGACATGGCATTTGAAAATCCTTCGTTTACAACCCTTTAAAATTGATTGACCCTGTTGAATCGTATTGACAATGTAATGTATATTGACATGTATTACCCTCTGGTAAACTAACATAACTATGGAAAATCACCATTGTTCATGGGAAAATCCACTATAAATGGTGATTTTCCATAGTTATGTTAGTTTACCAGAGGGTAAATTAGTTCTTGATTTTCAAAAACGTATTTCCTACCCTTTGGCGCCTGCATCTCTTTGGTTCGGATAGCCTTGCTCTGCCCCACTGCCGCCCACAGCTTGGAGCGCAGGCTCTCGGGCGCAGCGTCCGCATCCCCGCCGGGGGCACCGGGCGAGGTGGCATCCATGGTTGCGGGGGCAGAAGGGCAGCGCCGCGCAAGAAAATTGGATGGAAACAGAATAGATCAGTGTGTGAGTGTATTTCATTGGGTTGTTGAGCTGTAGTCAGTTTGGATTTTGCACGATTTTGCCCTTTGGTGAAACCTAGATTTGCAAGGTGATGGTCTGTGACGGTTACAAATGTAAGGTGGAATCAAAATCTTTGACCAGGGACTGTGGTCGTCCCAACATGGAGAAAAAAGGATAGGGTGCCACAAAGGCGAACAAAGATATGGTTTTCCGATTGTCCCACCAAAGCCACCAAAGGTGGCGACAGAGTCATGGTGTGCCATGATGTCAGTTCCAGTGAACATTCTTTTCTATCATCCATGAGTTGCTGGATGTGGCCTGGGCCAACATGGGCCAAAACAGCGGTGTAGCCTCACATTGCAGCCGCGTCAAACCATGGTATGTCATGCCCATCTGCCGGCCTGGCTCGCACTTCGGCTGCGGTCGTCCCGCCTTTGGACCGTCAATGATGGGTAGGGCGCAACCCCAACACCCTCAACATATTCCAATAGTTATCATGTGCTCTATTATTTCCCTTATCTTCCTTGGTGAAATGGATTGAAACTATAGTTCCTTTTGGAATTGGTTACAACTTATCATTCCAGTAACCAGTTTGGAAGTCTGCGATTTTGACCTCAAACCACAGACATGAGCCAAACAAATCAATACATACGGCTAACTGACATGGATCATCCTATTCCTGTTGGTGAACAACATCAGGTCATGCCAAGCATGTTTTCAGTTGTGCATATTGAAGTTCTGAAGAATTCGGACCATATCATCCTCCATTTGATGGTCCATCTAAATCAGAAAACTGGTTTGCATGGTTCCAGTGGTTTTAACATCAAATACCATGCGGCTCATCCACTATTACCTTTTTACTGGGGCTAAAGCGACTGCTCGCGTTGCTTGGTACTGAAATTATGAACGCGTAGAAAACCAACGGTGAACACTCCAAATGATCCAATCAACGGCTGATCTCCTGAACAAAACCTTCCAAAATCATCCAAAACCACTTATAAATCAATTAAGTAACAGTATGCCCATAAATGCCCATATATTTTGAATTATTTCAATAAACTCAAATTGCTTTGTCAAAATCCTTGGGTAATTCACGCCAGTTCACATCCTATCTCAACCCAACAACCTCTCACCCGTTACGACCGAAGCCGTTCACCTGCGGCTATCTTTCCGCTCCTCGCGCGGGCGGCTGTCCCTGAGCAGAGGCCGGTGGATGGTCCACTGGTGATTCACGGTGTGTATTCGACCAATGGGATGAACCCAAGACGGATATATGTTTTGCATCCTTTGGTACATATCATTGCACCCATGATTTCCTATGTAATATGAGATGTGTATGAATATAAGTGATAACCTGAGACAGTCACTGGGTATGTATGATTGGGTTCATGCTAAATCTTTGATGATAAACACCAAAAGTGTTGTTTGTTTAAAGAAGTGTGTCTTTTTTGTTGATTATATATACCCATTGATGTCTGCATGATTTCCCCATGTTTTGTGGGTCTGTGAAAATCTTCGGGCACTTGTTGGGTTCATGCCCCCTGCTGGCCTTCTCCTACTTCGACTGCGACTTCGGTCCATGGCTCGACCCCTGGCAGCTTTATCTGGGCAGAATCTATGGAGGGGGCAGGTAGCTCCAAACCCAAAATCTCTTGAATTTTGTTCATGATTTGGGATCATATTTTTAAATATTTTTTATGTTTATGTTCTGTGCTTTTGGGACCTATGGAGATCCAATTCCATTTTTGATGTTTCTAGGTTCCTTTTAAAGAAATAAATTCTAGGAAGTAATCCACTTTCAATCAGTACAAATATACTATGGACTATGGTCACCCAAGCCAAAAATAAACAACCCATTCATTTTGCCTGATTAAAACCAATGGCATGTGATTACACCAATATTTTCCAATGCCACTATGGAGTCCCATCCCTACACCGACCCAGCCGTCCTGACCTTCTCTAGCGGCCCAGCCCCATACCGGATCCGCCCGCCGAGCTCGGCGTGGTGCTTTGCGGTTCCGAGCTGCAAAACAGACAGACAGGACGGAGAATCCAACGCGGGCAGGCAGTGAAATGACCAAAGCTCCAGTTTGTGGATTTCAAGCACGGTCAAAGCCGAATTAATTCCAATCATCTCTAAGTTCCAAGCATTTTCGATGTTTGGTAAAAATCCCTGGCTTGAGTTTCTTGGCATGGAAGTTACAGAATTGCAATGCAATACGGATCTACATTTGGTTGGAGGCTTGCCCAGATGCATCCACGAGAAAGATCAGAACTGGTGATATTGGTGACCATTCTCAACACACTAAATTTGACAGATTTTGTGTCAATGGCTTTCTACATCATCCTGACTGATTTTTCGGGGTGTCACTACTCACATGGACAGCCTGCTTCCCAGACTTTAGGACGTTTCCTTGCACTTTTCTTCCACAATATACCTGGTTTTCCACTGGAAGTTCCACCATGCTCCCCCAGCACTCAGCCGAGCCCTGCACCGTGCCCTGTACGGTAGCAGCATGACCTCACACCGTGAGGCAAGGCAGGAATGAGCGACGAAGGTAAAGGTCAAAACCAACGTTTCACATACTTTGATTGTTTCATCGGACTATTTAAGACGATTTCGGTTATTTCAGATCGCTATGGGTCTTAAATTAGATACATTTGGGATCATCCAAGCCAATGACAAGACTTGAAAAAAATGCAGGACACCGCCAAAAGATTGCCCATCCATACATGATCACACTGACGTCCAAACATCAGCATCCAAACAGTAGCAGTGCAACTGTCAGCATTCAAATCAGCGGTTGCTCAGCCAGGCAACCTTTTTCGGCCCTGGCCTACCCCGCCACAGCCCACCCCTTCCAATGGTGGTCACAAAGCCAAGCCCCAAGACAGCCCTGTTGGCTAGTCACTAGTAGGGATCCAGTGACCATCCTGACTTCACTGAAACACACAATTACTATATAACTGATTCAATAAAAAACCTATCAAACAAGAAAAACACGTGCTGCATTGATTGGCAAAGTTCAAACATGTTCCGTTTCCTGCCAGCCACTGCCAGCCGCTCAAATGGTCTCTGGAATCCTTCTTGTGGATTTTCAAAAAGTCAAATCCTTTACAGCAAGCTTTCATGCTGCACTCTTCCAGATTCCATCTCATTCCACACATGTCCACACATCGCCACCGCCCCCTCATCCAGAGGCCCCACCTCCGATGCTGGCGGCTCTGCAGGACTGTCATACACGGTAGGATCTGCGGGATGCCCAAAGATCTGCAGCAGGTGGTACCTCAAATCATCCTGGTCCCTGACCTTCAATCTCAACACCTGCACACCCAGGTCCTCCAAGAACTGATCGCGCCGAGTGCGCACCGCCCGGTCCAACCGGGAAAGCTGGAGGTCCAGGGGATTCAGCTCCAAGTTCAGGTGAGATCCATCGCAGTGCGGCAGCACCAGGCTGAGCAGTGGACCCATCTGGTGACTTTGATTCACCAGGATGGATGGAAGGAATTCTTGAGTGGTCTGGGCGCACTGTTTTTGGAAATCAGTCCGCTCCAGCTGTGGCCTGGGGATCAAACTGGTCCATCCATTCTCACGAGCAATTGAAGCCAGGCTTTCCAAGAACTCTATGGCCTCTGGTGACTCCAAGTCAGCTTGGATGAAGGCACGTGCCAAACGCGCGCCAGGGACGGGATGCATCTTCGCCACACGGTTCAAGGCCTCGCTGGCGATGCTGAGCAGGGGCAGCTCATGGTGGATCCCTGCCTTGACAAATGCAAATGAGATGTATCCAAGCTCACGTGTAGGAAAGGAAGAGACAGTAGACGCACATTGTACGCCCAATGCTTTGAACAAGTGCACATCGGCGATGCGCAACTTCGAGAGTGCCCTCACCATGTGATTTACAGTGGACGGGTCCAAGCTATCAATCAACTGGATTGCCCGCGAGGCGACTGCATCCATCAACTTGCTGTCGAAAGTATCTGCCTCTGCCCAAGCCATAGCAATGTATCTAAGGTCGACAGGCCTCAGAGTTGGAACAAGCGGCAAGGCTGCAAGCTCAAGCACAGGCAGGTAGTTGCCAGGATTGTTTGACAGCCTCGTCACTGCATGCATTGTCACCGGCAATGCAAAACCATCAAACTCAGACACGCGTTCCACGACAGCTGCTGGGATGCAACTTCCAAGAATCGGCGCAAGTGAAAGCGTGGCACCAGCACAGGAAACATTGCATAGCTCAGCAGCTGAGAATTCCGCAGCTTTCCGACGAGCCGCCTCGCCGAGTGACTCAAGGAATTCAACATGTGTACATCCGGACTGAGCACAAGCCCACAGTATCCTGGCAATACTCCTGGCATTAAAATGAGGCACACACTGCAAGCTACATGCTGCGATTTGATCGCACATTGAAGGATCCAGAGCTCCTAATCTTGCTAACCCACAGAAGATATGCAGCACTTCGATGGGATCATCTGGACCCGTGGTCGCCCAAGCAGATGCCAAGTCCACTAAGAGCCGTTCGTCTTTGCAATCCAGCAAGCTAAGGCCGTGAATTGTGTAGGAAATCCTGTTCTTTGGAATGGACGGAAGATTGTAATGGAGTGCCTTGCACAGGGACTTCAAAAGCACATCATCTTTGCAAGTTGCTCGCCCCCAAGTCAAAGCGACTTTTGTCAGGTCATAGGGGCTCAGTCTCTCCATGCGCTCCACCATGATGACTGACAGCAGTTGGAACATCGCATCATGGAAGAAACCAGCTTTGAGACTCACATCTACAAATCCCAAGATGTAAACTGTTTTCATCTTCTTGAGAGAATCCACGTCTTTCAACATCGCATGAGCTGCAGCCGTCAGCAACTGCTTGTCCAGCTTTACTCCTGCCCTCTGAAGTGAGACAATGAAATCTCCCCACGACCAGGATTTCAAACCGCGCGAGGCTGTCTTGACTCTCCCCATCATCGCCGTCAGCATCTCTGGATTAGGCTGGCTGGCCACAGAAAATGCACCCGCCACTTTCACCAGTTCTGCCACCTTCATCTGTTCGACTTTCTGCGTCACGGCGCGGCCGATGTCCTTCCAGGTAGCCTCATCCCTCCAGTGACAAGTCGCTAGGCTCCAAGTGAGATCCACCACGTCGTTACCTTGCAGCTGCTGCAGGCGCCCCAGGCAGCGTTGGATGGACGGCTGGAGACCTGCATGGCCAGAAGCAGCAGGTCCCGTGGCGGCCAACTTTACCAGTTTGGCCACCTGTGCACATCTCACCATGGGATGGAAGGATGTCCGATGTTAGGGGAGAAAGTAAGAAACAAAATGGCCTGAAAAAAATGTTGCAGGTGGATGCATCATGCCAAACTTCATGTTCATTGAAAGCAATGTTGAGAAAACGTGGATGCACCATGTCGGTTTTTTGGCTCTACAGGCATAACCATCTTGTCGGTTTTTTGGCTCTACAGGCATAACCATCTTGATCCAAGAAATGTTTCAAAAGCACAAGCACAAGTTCGTCTCCACACTCCAGCCGTGGCCCAAGACACAATGAAGTCTTCTTAGGAGAGTGTTTTAGTTTGCACTATGATGTGTTGGTGCACTTTGTTGATAACGGTCGAAAATGAAAAGCTGTTCTTGGAAAAAAACAGTTGTTCATATAGGAACACTCTAAATTCTTGAAATGCTCATTTGAATTCCATTCAATTTTGATGGCGTATACACTATATGAGCACGTGTTCGTAGTTTGATCCTGCCACCAACACCCCGGCCAAGCCCTGCACACATGCACTCCGCCATGGCCTCACAGAGTGAAGCTGTGGTAGGGAAGAACGATCAAAGTCAAAACCCAGATATTCACATTATATTGTTTATTTATGTTTATTGATTTTGTTACGCAGTGATTGAACATTTTCCACATCTTCAGCTGGGTACGATAGTTCGGGATTGATCAGGTTGTAAATTGTATGGCCCCAAATGAGCATGAATTAGGTGAAAAGCATTGTATGTATGTATGTGTGTATGTGTGTATGTATGTATGTATGTATGTATGTATGTATGTATGTATGTATGTAAGTATGTATGTAAGTATGTAAGTATGTAAGTATGTACGTATGTATGTATGTATGTATGTACGTATGTACGTATGTACGTATGTACGTATGTACGTATGTACGTATGTACGTATGTACGTATGAATGAATGAATGAATGAATGAATGTATGTATGTGTATGTATGTATGTATGTATGTATGTATGTAAAGCAATAATATGCCAAAACGGGATGGTTGAATGCAAAAAGCGGCACCGGTTTGTAAGTTTCTCTAAATTGTATGCCTCTGCAAATCACAGTGACTTCCAAACATCGGCATCCAAACAGTAGCAGTGCAACTGTCAGCATTCAAGTCAGCTGCTGTGCGCCCAAGGAAATCTTTTTCAGCCATGGCCTACCCCGCCACAGCCCACCCCTTCCGATGGTGGCCACAAAGCCCAAGCCCCAAGACAGCCCTGTTGACTAGTCACTAGTAGAGATCCAGTGACCATCATGACTTCACACTGACACAGAGTTGAAATCTTTGAAACAGAATGGAAAAAATATGAAAACATGTGCTTTATTCAGATTGCACAGACCAGAAGCGCACATACCAAGCCATCTCAAATGGTCCCTGGACTCCTTCTTGTAGATTTTCAAAAAGTCAAATCCTTCACAGCAAGCTTTCATGCTGCACTCTTCCGGATTCCATCTCATTCCACACATGTCCACACATCGCCACTGCCTCCTCATCCAGAGGCCCCACCTCCGATGCTGGCGGCTCTGCAGGAATGTCATCCATGCCAGGCTTCGCGGGATGTCCAAAGATCTGCAGCAGGTGGTACCTCAAATCATCCTGGTCCCTGACCTTCAATCTCAACACCTGCACACCCAGGTCCTCCAAGAACTCATCGCGCCGAGTGCGCACCGCCCGGTCCAACCGGGAAAGCTGGAGGTCCAGGGGATCCAGCTCCAAGTTCAGGTGAGATCCGTCGCAGTGCGGCAGCACCAGGCTGAGCAGTGGGCCCATCTCGTGACGTTGGTTCACCAGGATGGATGGAAGGAAGTCTTGAATCGTTTCGGCGCACTGTTTCTGGAAATCAGTCTGCTCAAGACCGCTGGGGCTCAAGCATGTCCATCCTTGCTGACGTGCAACTGCTGCCAGGCCTTCCAAGAGCAATATGACTTTTGGAGACTCCAAGTCAGCTTGGATAAACGCGCGTGCAAGCAGTGAACCAGGAATAGGATGCATCTTTTCCAAACGCCTCAAGGGGGCCATAGACGAAGCCTTGGATGAGGCTCGTATCACCGTATTGTTGGTGGCAATTTTAAGAGTCAGCCTATCCATTATTGATATGAACTTGTGCACATACATATGTATATATATATATGTAATATATATAAGATAGAGGAATAATATGTATGTGTCAACAGTATAAAATATCTTATTATAAAATATATTACTGTATATTCAAAAAGCTGTTGAGATTTACATATATAACGTGGTACTACAACTAAGATATATAACGTAGTAATATAAACATAAGAAATGGTATACTATGTCTAAACGTGGTTACACCACCACCTGTATATTATATATACATATGTATGTGCACAAGTTCATATCACATGAACTAATATCATCAGTTTGTCACCTGTTTTGGCTCATAATTTCATAACCAACATTATCCTGGGTCATAGGGTTTTGGTTCCAATACATCCCAAAAAATGATATTTTTGTTGGGTCATCCACACGTTGGTGGAAGTCCTGAATCCGCTGGGCTGTTGAGATTTGGGCCACGATCGATCTTCTCGATCTTCAAAGTTGCACTCTCAGTATCACATGAACATCGAAGGACACTGAGAAATCAATGAAATATATATATATATAATTATATATATAATTATATATATATTACTATCTATTGTGATACTATCTCAAAATCAGAAAATCATCCAATCCGAAAGCCATTGGAGCCACCTTCCAGCTGGCTGAGGAGCCCGGCAGCAGAGCAGCTGAGATGTCCCCAAGGTGCCGTGGAGCTTCACGCAGCGCGGCGCCAGAAACTCGGAGAACGAGCTCCTGAAGTTGGTGGGTGTTGGTGGACAAAAATCTCTAGGGAAATTGACAAATAAGATCTGTATAAGATCCATCAATATCCATCAATATCCATCAATATCCATCAATATCCATTAAATATCCATCAAATATCCATCAATATCCATCAATATCCATCAAATATCCATCAATATCCATCAATATCCATCAATATCCATCAATATCCATCAAATATCCATCAAATATCCATCAATATCCATCAAATATCCATCAATATCTGTATAATATCCATCAATATCCATCAATATCCATCAAATATCCATCAAATATCCATCAATATCCATCAAATATCCATCAATATCTGTATAATATCCATCAATATCCATCAATATCCATCAAATATCCATCAAATATCCATCAATATCCATCAAATATCCATTAAATATCCATCAAATATCCATCAATATCCATCAATATCCATCAATATCCATCAATATCCATCAATATCCATCAATATCCATCAATATCCATCAATATCCATCAATATCCATCAATATCCATCAATTCCATGAAATACCATCAATATCCATCAATATCCTCACATATCCAATCAATATCCATCAATATCCATCAATATCCATCAATATCCATCATATCCCTCAACATATCCATCAAATATCCCTCAATATCCACAATATCCATCAAATAGCCATCATACCATCAATATCCATCAAAATCCCTCAAATCCTCCATCAAATATCCATCAACGATCCATCAATATCCATCAATGTCTGTATTTCCATCAAATATCCGTCAACTATCCATCAAATATCCATCATCCATCAATATCCATCAATATCTGTATAATATCCATCAATATCCATCAATATCCATCAAATATCCATCAAATATCCATCAATATCCATCAAATATCCATCAATATCTGTATAATATCCATCAATATCCATCAATATCCATCAAATATCCATCAAATATCCATCAATATCCATCAAATATCCATCAATATCTGTATAATATCCATCAATATCCATCAATATCCATCAAATATCCATCAATATCCATTAAATATCCATCAAATATCCATCAATATCCATCAATATCCATCAAATATCCATCAATATCCATCAATATCCATCAATATCCATCAATATCCATCAAATATCCATCAATATCCATCAATATCCATCAATATCCATTAAATATCCATCAAATATCCATCAATATCCATCAATATCCATCAAATATCCATCAATATCCATCAATATCCATCAAATATCCATCAAATATCCATCAAATATCCATCAATATCCATCAATATCCATCAATATCCATCAATATCCATCAATATCCATCAATATCCATCAAATATCCATCAAATATCCATCAAATATCCATCAAATATCCATCAAATATCCATCAAATATCCATCAAATATCCATCAATATCCATCAATATCCATCAATATCCATCAATATCCATCAATATCCATCAATATCCATCCAATATCCATCCAATATCCATCCATATCCATCAAATATCCATCAAATATCCATCAATATCCATCAATATCCATCAATATCCATCAATATCCATCAATATCCATCAATATCCATCAATATCCACCAATATCCATCAATATCCATCCAATATCCATCCAATATCCATCCAATATCCATCCAATATCCATCAAATATCCATCAAATATCCATCAAATATCCATCAATATCCATCAATATCCATCAATATCCATCAATATCCATCAATATCCATCAATATCCATCAAATATCCATCAAATATCCATCAAATA